CCCCAATGAGTTTCTCAGCTTGGGCAGTGCTCGGTCTGGAACGTACGACCGGACAGCAGGCTCTGAAACCCCAGCTACAAAGTGCTGTGTGTGCTTAAGCTACCATGTGCTTCACACGTAGGGGACTTGAGGAGAAAATACACTTTCGGCAAAATCTCGGTGTCTTTGTTGATTATTGTTGGCCAGCCGTTCACGCTAGGCTGTCTTTATCTTGCCTCCAAGTATATCCTGAATGGCTTCCCATCTCTACTCATTTACAAGCGCCCATGGTAACTGTTAACTCATTTGCACATTTGTGACAGGCCTTCTGCCTGGCTCACCCCACCCCCCCTCCCTCGTCTGGCTATTGTGCTTCAGGCTCCAGTTTTTAAAGGTCTTCTCTGGGAAGCAACCCAAACCCCAGCCTTCAGCCCACATGCAGTCGGATGCCCCTTCTGTAAGTTTAAATGGCATTCTGTGCACATCTCTCTCTTAGATTTTTACTATATAATAAACTTTAGGGCTGTCTTGTCCATTGACAAATTCTTATTTCTGTACTCCTAATATTCCACACAATGCCTCACACAAAGCAGACACTTCATTTTTCAAAAATCACATTACTATGCTCCCAAAGCAATGGCATTAATTTTTTGAGTTATCTGTGGCTTTATCTGGTGTGACATTCCGCAGGCTCACCTAATAATGAAGACACTCCAGGATTCACTGGGCCCTGCCCAGGGCTTCCAACTTAAGAGTCCAGGGATGTCCTGAACCTGGCTGGTCATAGGCTCGGGGTGGTTCTGATGGTAGAGCTGTTCCCAAAGCAATTCAGGAGCACCCCCATTTCTCCTGCTCTTGCTTTCTGATGGGAACCCCCCTAGCAGAGGCTTTTCCAAAGTGAACCACTTGCTCTGGGGACATTGCTCAACCCCTCTGTAAGTTACTCAGGCTTCCTCTTATCTCAATAATTAATAAAAATCTGGAGGGAGGGATAGCAAGCTGCGGAGGAGGAGGAAAAAGCCAAACACATGCTCTCACTTAACAAATGGAGTGTTTACTTAGCACCAGGCAATTCTGTTGAGTGCTGGGAACAGTGATGAATAAGACAGACTCAGTCTGACTCATGGAGGGGGAAGCTCTTTTGAAAACACAAAGGGTATCAGCAAACACTTTCAAAGGAAAGATTTCTTTACTATCCAAACGTGTACACAGTAAAGTCTTTGCAAAGATGACCTCAAGCAAAAAGTAGGCTTCAGAAAGGAGGCCAGGTGTTCATTAAGAACAGAAGAGTCAAGATTAGGCTGTTGCTCTTTGGTATTCTGCTTACATATTTAGCTGATGGTTCCTGAGAAACCTCTCTTGATGGTTAGGGATGTTAGGTCCCTATGTGGTGGTGGTGGTGG